TACAGGAGAAGTCTGCCGCGCCATGTGGGTCAGCGCCGTGGCTGGGATGAAGTCCTGTGGCAGTGGTGTGGATAGCTTAACAGAGCTAGAACTTAACCTCTTGCATCACCAGGGAGGCCCTACCCCCAATTTTTGTTTCCCTTCTCATTTAGTGTCTTCTCTTAATGCCTAATTTGCACCAGGCAGCACTTTTCTGTTTTCTAACACTGTAACTAAATACTGTTGTAGAATTTTATATAAGTAGAACCTTGCCTGTTCAAAATGCATTTGAGATATATTTCTCCATATCGTTACTTATGTCAATAGGTTGTTTCTGAGATTATTGTTGAATAGTAGTCCACAATTTGTATATCCAGTCACCTGCCGGTCAATTTTATATGTCAACTTGGCTGGGCTATCACACCCAAGTATTCAGTCAATCTAATGTAGGTGTGGATATGAAGGTATCTTTGTAGATAAGATTAAAATCTGTAAGTAGTTGTCCTTACGGAACGATTACCTGTGATAATGTGGATAGGCCTTATCTCACTAGTTGGAAAATCTTAAGAACAGAACTGAGGTTTCCCTGAAGTTCTGTGGACAGCAGCCTTAGCTCCTGTCAGCGAGCTTCCAGCCTGTTCTTCCTAAAGATCTGCCCTACAGATTTCAGACTTGCCTAGGCTGTCCCCAGAATTGGTACTAGCCTATTTCTTGTAATGCTACCCTGAGTGGTATACCTGTTGATGAACACTGGGGTGGTTTCCAGTTTTAGACTACTATGAATAAAATTGCTGGCAACATTTGAGAGTGAATCTTTGCATGGGTATATTAGTCTTGGGTAAACAGCTGGGAATGGAACTGCTGGAGAAGCATGTATTAAACTTTATGTGAAACTGAAAATCCATTTTGCAAATTGTTGTACCATTTTGCATTTCTGCCAGCAATGTGTGCAATCTGAGTTGCACTACTTGTTGGTCAGGACCTGACACTGTCCATCTTCTAGTGGGTGTACAGTGCTATCTCTTGTGTTTTTATTTCTTTGATGACAAGTGATGCTGAACATCTTTCAAGAGTTTATTGGTGATTTGTATATCTTTTTGTGCAAAAGTATGCTCAAATATTTTGTATTTTAAAATTGGGGTTATTTTGGGTTATTCTTATTGAGGCATAGGGGTTCTTTCTAGATCCTCATTTGTGTCAAATATATGCATTTCCAGTATTTTCCACTCCCATGTATGGCTTGATTTTTCATTTATAAAAGTGGTATCTTTTGAAGAACAGAAATTTTAAAACTTGATGAAGGCCAAGAAGTTTTTTCACTTATCACTCCTACCTTTGATGTCTAAAGAAATATTTGGGTAATCCAGAACATGAAGTTATCATAGAAGTCTTTTAGTTGTAACTTTTATTTTTACATGTATGATATTTGGAGCTAATTTTGTTAGTGTTAGGTGAGGGTTAAGGTTCATTTTTCTTTCCAATTCGTTCCTCAAGCACTAAAGTTACGTTGGCATTTTAGACAAAAGCAAATCAACCGTGTATGCTGATGAATTTCTAGACTTTAATTCTGTTCCATGGTTCTGCCCTGTAGTTCACTGTAGGAGAACTGACATCGTAATTTTGAGTTATTAAGTCCATGAACATGTTACAATTTCTCCATTTATTTAGGCCTTTAATTTTTCTTAGCTATGTTTTGTAGATTTTAGTGTGGCATGTATCTTGTAAGTTTATTCCTATGTATTTCTTGTTCTTGGATGCTACAGTGAATACTATATATTGAAAAATTTCATTTTCTAATTAATTTTTTGTACATATAAATGTTGATTTTTACATACCAACATTGTATTCTTTGATTTTGCTAAGTTGGCTTGTTAGTTTTAGGATTTTTTTTTTTTTGGCAGTCCAAATCATGTCTGTGATTCCTTCTTCCTTTGATCCACATGCCTATTATTTCTCCTTCTTGCCTTTTTGCTTTAGTTGACAGATAATGTTAAATAGAAGCAGTAGGAGTGGTCTTGTTTTTGATATTAAGGGAAACATTTCATCTTTCATCTTTAAGTATGTTGGTAGCAGGCTTCTCACTGGTATCTTTTAAGTTTAAGACTATTTCTTTCTGCTCCCAGTTTGCGAATATGGCTTTTGATGAAGGTGTTTATGATTAGGTCATGTGCCTTCTCTTTGTTGATATTTATCCTTGGTTTCTATGGTGAAATACATTCACGGATGTTTTAAAATGTTAAACTAACCTTATAGTCCTAGAATCCATCTCACTTGGTCATGAAGTATCAGGAGTTTTCAAAATTTTTTGTTGGATGTAGAACTTGGGGTGTAGGTCAGAAGTGGGGGATGTGAGAGGATTCATGAGACAGAGTGGGGAGCCTAACAGGCAGATCTACTGCGATACACTGCAAGAGGAGCAGCGGGGAGACAGGAGAGGTCTGCTGCGCATGTGGGTCAGCTCCTGGCCTCAGATAGAACTCAGGCAGTTCTGGTGGACAGTCATGGTGGTATCAGCTGAGACTTAACCCCTAGGCCACCACGCAGTCCCTGATGTATTACCCTTTGACTTTACTTTTGGATTTGGCTTTCTCATATTTTGTTATGGATATTAGACTATGTTCATGAGGGATAATGATCTATGACGTTTTCTCTTTTCATGTGTTAGGGAAATGCTTGTTTCCTAAATGATTAGAAACTTCTATTTTTTGAATTGTTGTGCAACTGGTATACTTCCATACGCATTTTTGACTTTTCAGGTGTTCTGCCAGCTAAAACAAAGAAATATCTCAAACCACAGTTTCACTCAGACTTACCACTGCCCTCAGCCCCAAGCTGCAACGTGCTTCCTTTCCCTAAAAGGGGAGGACACCTTCCAGGTTTCAGTGTTTTTCACTGTCTCCTTCCGAGTGACTCATTCAGCCGAGGCTCCAAGCGCCCGGGGGCTCCTTCTTACCTCGGGAGAGTACAGAGCCTCGCGACGGTCCCGGGCGGGCAGCCTGTCGCCCGTTGCACCGAGCTCTTCCCCGGGGCGCCCAAGCCCCTAACATAACCTTTGCGATTAGCACTGCAGACACCGGGTGAACTCGAACCTCTCCTAGGAACACGGTTCGGTGGGGGTCCCCAGGATAGCTGAAACCCATCTCGAGTCTCCCAAGGCGATGGGGTTGGGCAAAGCCGCCCACGCTCTCCGCAACAAGTCTTGACTGCGCCTGCGCACGGCGAAGTCCGGCTGCGCCCCCGCGCGAGGAGGGTGCGCGGTGGGCGCCCTTGGGCGCAGCCGCGGTGGGCCCGCAGGCACGCACCGACTCATTTCCGGGATGCGGCGCGCTCCGGCCGTCACCTTTTCCTTCCTTTGTAGGGTCTCGGGGCATGGCGTCAGAGGCGCTCGCTCTTTCCTTTTCTACCGACGCGTGTGACAGAGAAGAGTTTAACTCGCCCGAAGCAGGCAGCCGGAGCAGCAGGAGGGTCTTACTCCAGGGGCCCCACCTGTGCTAGCTCGCTGGCCGTCCTGTGCACACCCTCCCCGCACCCGACACATACCCATCCTTTCCATCCATCACCATCTTTTTGAGGCCTCAGCTCTGCAGTTTTGGTTGCTGAGGCTGGGATGGGCTACCTCAAGGTGACCATAGGGGAGGGCTTCGGAGAGAGGCTGAGGCTTGGTGTAGGGTCTTGAAAAGGTAGGTGGGTAAAGGGTCATGGAAGCTAAGAAAACAGGGTTCCACGAACTGGGAAAAGGCCCGACACAGGATGCCGAGGCAGTGATGGACTTCTGTAGTCTTTAAGATGACTTGCTTTTTCTGAGGTGCTGTTTGTAAATTCACCCATCTTTATTACTATAGGACTATATAGTGGCCACTCCACATAGGCAAATCTGTTGTCCACTTTTTATCCTAGTTGGTTGTCTTCAAAACCTTGACTCCAGATGTGCATATCTGCTTAATTTATAGCCTGATGGCAGCTGTTAGGAGCATCCTTCTCCCGACTCACGGTCCACTCCTTGGCAGCCTCAATAATTGGGAAGTTTGGGCCATATAGGTGATGCTTAAATCTATTTTGAATCATCAATCCTTGTAGGCATCACACAGAACTAAAGATGCAATTGTGTGGTGCTTGTGTAAGTACAGTTCATGAAGGCTCTGGACTTACTGACTCAGGCTCTTACACCAAGGAATGAAAATGCATTTGCCTGTGGATGGTTTTGTTTCCTTTTCTCTTGCTGATGGTCAAAATGTGCGCTGCTCAGTGGGTGTTGTTATAAATATTTAAAAAGCCACAAGGTTTTTTGAGGAAGGGCTTTTTGAACTCCATCCTGGAGTTCATCCTCCACTCTGATCATTAGCCTCCCATTGACTGGCAGCTAACTGACCCAATGCTCCTGTAACAGACCAAAGTGGGGGACTGATATATTTCAGGGTTCCAGGCTGCCGGACAGATTAATGGACCCAAAAAAACAAGCTGCTGTGGCAAGAATCTTAGATGTTATTTGACAGCCAGATGGCATTTGTTTAATAATGGTTGCTGAGAACATTTTTGTCCTTTCAAATTTATTTTTAAAATATTTAAACTAGGATTTTAAGTAGTTACAATCATTTACATTTCCAAGCCTTGTCATCACACTTACAGGTTTTTGCAGGTTCCCTGCAGTTCATCTTTCTTATCCTTTTTTGCTTTGGCATTTGGCACATTTGCAGTGTTAAGTGGCAACTTACATTTATGAGTCTAGCCAAAAATCTTAGGCAGGCGAGGCTGGCTGGTGGCAAGTAGGCTATGGAGAGGTTTTCTGGCTCTTGATTCAATTGCTGCTACCCCATGATCATGAATACTTTGGAAAGTGATTCATTTCTGCCCTTGATTACAATTTCATAAGGTACTAGGAGACTTCCACTTTTGGGAAAACAAGTCCTTAAGATAAGTTCCTATTTGCAGAAAATAAAAGTGTTATTTCTTAATAGCTTGTCACACGTCATTGGAAAATTAACTTGTGGCTGAAAATTATTCTTAAAATCTAAGATTGGACCCTGGGCCAAACCCTGTCTATTATCAGCCTGATCCTTAGAGTGCCAACAAATGGAGGCACATCATAGGATAATCTGCAGTAAAGACTCAGAAAACGTGGTCTAGATGCATTTGCCTCGATGACCACATTACCCAGGCAGCTTAGAAATAAACTCACATTTTAACAGCATAAACTTTTCTTGGGGAACCCCAACTTAACGGTTTTTCACATGTATTGAGTCATGTGACACCAGTGATAAATAACTAGGAAAACAAAGCTCTTTTGGGGCTGCTTCCAATTTTGGTGGTCAGTTCAGCAAGCACGGAGGTGGAGATTTTAACTGTGGCACTGAGAGGTGACCAGGCTGTGCCTAGGGCTCCACTGAGGAAACCGCTGTTTTGCTGACACTGTTTCTGTGGGAGGGGCCTGGAGTTTTGCTGACCATTAGAATCTTAAGTACATGTGAGAAAATTTTGTCTAATTACTACAAAATTAGAATTCCGGGTTACTGGAACATGTGACTGGAGTGTTTTGCATGTTAATGAAGTCACACCATCTTTCATTTTCATCAGGCTTAGAGATAGCTAAAATGAACAGTTGCATTCTAGCTATTAGAATACAATTTTTTGTCTTCAAAATAACCTGGGAACAAGGTGCCCTGAAGACTAGACAAGAGACAAAGCAGCAGTGTATCGAAATAATAAGTGGACAAGAGTGGCATTTTAGATCCTGTGATTCACAGGCTATAAATCTGCATTAAGGTACAGATAGCTGTCTGTGTATCTAATCTTTACAGCTCCAGACAGCAGTGTATAGTACACATGTTATACAGATCATATACGTATCAACCGAACCAATCATACTTTAAAGAAGCTGAGTCGGACTTAGTCCAATGAGAAACATGCTAATATGATAAGGTTGAGGGGTCCCAGTACTCCCCGCTGTCTTTTAAGACTGTTTTACACATGTTTGTGTGTTTAGGGAGACAAGTTGCTGCAGACACACAGACTTGACTGCTGAAACCATGTCAGTAGAAACCATTGAAGTTTATTGGCGGTCACAATGCTTACACTGTATGCAGCAAACACCCTTACAAGTCTATCCGCAACCTGATCACGCAAGAAAGAATTTACCACACAGTCGCCAGAGGAGAAGGAAAAAAAAAATCAACAGGTTTGTTTCTGGGGGTAGAGAAGAGAAATAAAAATAAAACCGAATTGATGAGTGTCCCATGGGCAATAGCTGAACTAGAGATGCGTACAACTAGCAGCAACGATTGTGGAAAAAGTACAAGGCAAATAGCTTTCTCCATAACTTTCCTCTGTAGGTTAATTTTTTTAAATATTCAAAACATTTATTATGGTTTTCATTTTATAAAAATGTATATTTTTAAAGGGCTAAGAGAATGTTAAATACTTCATGCTAGGCAGACCTTGTTATTAAGAACCCCTCCACTGCAGGAACTTCTTCCTGTTCATACATTCACGAGTGCAGGGCAATATATAAATATCCACACGCACACCTCCACACACACTGCCTCGAGGGCTGGGGAAGACTAAAAGTTATTGGCCACGCGTGCTGGGCCTCTGGTGGACTCATCCAAATTGCTCAACAGGAGAGCAACCGGCTCACCTCCTTCTCTCTGATCCCTACCTTTAGAGACCAAGAACCCTAAATCATAAAGTTACACCCGACTTTTAAAAGCAAGAGGCGTCTGTCTGAGGATGAGGGTAGCAAAGTGGGGAAAAGGATGAAGCTAAAACACCAAACTTCCAGCTGGAGTTTTCCGTCACCGTAAGAGGCCAGGGGACCAGGGCAGCATCTGTGGTTGGAAGGGGCGGGTGGTGCTCCTCATGGCTTAGAGTTCCTAATAACAAGGGTAATACAGTAACAGGAAGTGGTAGTTTTGGGGGCAAGGAACGGGCAATAAGAAAAAATATACATTTGGAATTTTTACTTTTTTTTTTTTGCCTCTCTACACTGTGTCACTAAATATATCTCTGCACGTTCACACATCCTCGTCCAGTAAAGCTTCAGGCCACCAGAATACACATTTTTTCCTCACTCGCATACACAACCCCTCACATCAGCATTGGTGCACTAGACTCTGTAAAAATTTTTCAGTCACACTTTGTTTTTAAACTTGAGTCAATATAAACCTTGTTCAAAATGTTATGAAAAAATGTACATGTTTATACAAGGCAGGTTGTGGCAGGACACTGGGGTTCTCCCCATGAGGGTGGCCCCAGGAGGGGGGCTGGAGTCTCACACATTTGTGTCTTTATCTCCTCCCACCACCCTTCCCACCCAATCCCCTAGGAACCAGCAGCGCCCTGCCCCCTAGTGAGTGAACTCTCACCCTTTAACCTGGGAAAGCAGCTAGGTGACTTTTGCCATTTCCCCCACATCCCTGGAGGAGGGAGTCTGGATCAGCCAGGCCCTCTCCCCTGTAATTGTTCGCCCCTCTGGGCCAGACCGAGGGACGCTGCTCTGTACAGGTAGAGTCCAAGGAGGTGTCAGCTCATCATGTCATTGCTATTCACGCCGTAAGTGGAGTTCTTCATTGAGTCGTTGACTTCTCGACGGAATGCTGACAGGTTCTGGGTGAACCTGCGGAGAGGATGCATGTGGATGGGGAAGGCCTTTGCCTACAACAGTTCTGGCGGGGCAGTGGGTACCGCAAGTGAACATCTGAACCGTGGTCTCAGTCTTAGGACTGAGGGAAGTTAAGGCTAGTGTGCATCCCTCTGTAACTGACAAGTGCACGGCAGTCCTCTAGATCTGGTCACATTTGGGGCTCTGGGGTGTTGGCCACCTCAGGTTCATGACAAGTGGGAAGTAATCTCACAAATGCAGACAGAGAGAATGCAGTGGTTCTGATTTGTGAACAGAGACTGTGCAGTGGGGCTGTGCAGTGTGCTCGCTACTAGCCACAGCTAGCTGCTGAGGGACTGAACCTAACAGATCAAGTAATTTAGTTCCCCAGTTAGTTGCCATATTT